CCTCATTGCCAACCAGCTATGAACAGATGGGACCAATGCCACCCTGGGACTATATGACAAATGGTGACCAGTGAGGCAAAGCCAAGCAAATAGGGATGCCTAGCCTGACTTTTAAGTCTGGAGGTCAGTGTTTACAGATGATCCACAAGAAACTATGTACGTCGTAATTGAAAATAGCTGCCACATTAGTCTTTTATATTTTCAGGTAGATAATGCTTCACTTGATCTATAAGCAGATGAGAAGAAGAAAGCTCACTCTTATCTAAAGTAGATTTTAACAATCAGAACATACAAGAAAGTAGAGGTTTTGAAGGGAAGGAATGCCGATTTTAGTATCATTTTAGAAATCATTAAACCTTGAGTACTGTGGCCATTTCTTACCCCAGAAAGCAAAAGAAACTAAATCAAGGTCTGGACTTTCAGAACAGCAGGACTGAGAGTTCAAATTATTGTCAGTCGTGGCCCACTGAGAGGCTGGAAAAAGACAGGAGAGTTAAAGCCTGAAAAATATGGCAGTTCTACTGTTTTCTTTTATGATGCGATTGACTATTCAGCCACTTAACTCCCCTGGCACTATAGTTTGTTTAGCTATATACCCAGGGAGAGAAGGGACAAGATTCACTCTAATTCACACACAATATCTATATTTTATAAAGCAAACAAGTGAGAGACAGAAAGAACACAATTATATACCTGCTTTTTCTGGCAAAAACCTTCAGATTTCACTAGCTAAATGTAGTTATTCCTTTACTGATTGACCTTCTGAGCAAAACCAGGAAGATTCTGATTTTTTTTTAGTCTTTTAAATAAAAATTGTGGAAAGATCACGATGAAATATTGTCTATTCACAGATGCCCTACCTTTTGAATAACTTAGCTCTGTTTTATTCAGTTCATAGCTGTTCACAAATTGTATAAAGGTATACTTTTAAGGTAATGTTAGGAGAAGAATTTCTAATCAGATTGCATTTTAAGTGCACACAAACACACACACACACACACAGAGAGAGAGAGGGGGGGAGAGTGTAAAGATTTTGTTGCTATGGTGGAGGTAAGATAGTAGGGCTCAGCTGGCTGATTCTGCTAATCCCATAATAGTCACTCTGTAATATTGTCTTTCCACAATGTAAACCAAGCATATTGAGCGTGAAGATGCAATAGAAGTAAAAAAAAAAAAACCTGCATTCCATCTTTCATCTATGGCTCATTGCATATTTTCTTTTTCAGTACTTATTATAGGATTGTTCACATGGCTAAGTATAATTTCTACAATAGAGTTTAAAATAATGTGCTAAAGAGTTAAAGCAAAACTTCTCAGAATTATCCCATTGATGTGCAAATAACAAGAAAATTCTCAAATTGCCTTTTCTTTCCCCTCTCTTCTGGTTTCCACTTCAAATTTCTTGCCTTAACATTGAAAGTGTTTTTGCTTACTTTTCTTTTATTAGAAAGAGCTGAGTGAGAAAATGCTACGCAGGTGGTAAGTGTAGCACTGGACATTGTGGATTCAGCAAGCCTTTCTTGCGTGGTATACACAGAGGAAACCAAATAATGATGTAAATAGAGAATAACAAAATTTAAATAAAATAATAATGTAAAATTTGGACAGCGTCTTCAAGAGGGTAGGTTCAGTGTTATGTCTGCACATGCTAAATTCAGATAGCAGATCTGTGGAAGTTAAAATGTACTTGCTTTTTTTAGAATTGTCATGTCTCTTTCCATCTTGCATTAGCAACTTTTACATTATAAGAAAGCTCAAGTTATTGTAGTTTATATCGGAAAACCCCTTAAAATGTCCAGCCAGCATAGGTTAGCCATTGTTTGAGCTGACAGAAGCCTTCAGATGTAAAAGCCAATACAGAAATGTACTGTACTATAATATGTAAAGTATGTCTTTGCAGTCAGCCTAAAACTGAGCCTCTGAAACAAAAGTTGGAATATAATTCTAATAAATAATAATTAAATGTTTAAGATACAATTTCCAAATTGAACTTCTCTCTGGGCATGGCATGATTGTTGGCCTATGTGAGATGACATCTTCACATAAATGCCCTATTTCCCATACTCTCATCAGACAACATGACACAAGTATGTAATTGTATCATTGCTTGATGTATACATATAGTTTTGATGTTATTACTGTTTGTTGTAGACAATGCTAGTGCTAGCACGTGCTAGTGATTGAGGTTTTTCTTAACATAGCTAGAGAACAATCTTATATCCTATATGAGCATAACCAAAGCCAGACCTCATGGCCAAAAGAGAGAGTCTTATCTATCATTGCATAGCATGATGGAAAGAAGAGATGCTAAAGCTAAACCACAAGCTCACTATACACTGAACTTGGTTTTGATACATAACAATCACTGGAATTCTTTGTAATAGCTTTTGAACTCTTCTGCAATAACATTTCTTATCAGAGCCTGATGTGAGTGATTGTTAGGAAGCTGGGAAACCCATGGAAGAGAACATAGACATAAACATAAAACAGGCAAGAGATAGTGGGCACACTAGTTGACATTGTATCTCACAAATGGCAACTTGGTCCAGGAGGAGAGAAATCTAGGAGACTGGATGTTAAATCACTCTGCACTGATTAACTCACTGTAATTGAGTTGTGAATTTCCTCTTACAGTTTTTAAAGATTTGGTATTTACCCTAGACCATAGGTGTCAAACTTGATCATGTCACGTGACGTCTCGTGATGGATTGTAATGTTTTTTGCCTTTGTGGAGTCGGGGTGGACATGGCCTGCGCATGATGCATCTGGCCCATGGAATGCTAGTTTGACACCCCTGCCCTAGACTCACATTAAAGGTACATTGCTGAAGTGTTTGTAATACTCCTTCCTTGAACTTTCTCAGCTGCATGGGAAACATCTGGATGTTGACATCTGGATTCTTGTATGCCTATTAAATATTTGTAGTCCCGCATGCTTGGGAGAAATCAGGCAATGGCTTCATGGATATATCCATCCAACATACTTGGTATTAATAATGCAGAAGTTGCCCTGCAATTTGTTTGCAACTTTTCAGTCTCTCCCATCACCTGTTATTTCCATATGGTCTCCAATCCAAGTATTAATTAGATCTAGCCATGTTTAGCTTTCAAAGATCAACTGATTGTTTTGGTTGCCCATGTTTCTGGAAGAGGAGATTCCAGGAGCCTGAAAAGGCAGATGGTCTTTCTACTTCATAAGAAGCCAGGCCTGGATTCCATAGCCTAAATAACTTCCATCCTTTCACCAACTCCCCTTTCTAGGGAAAGTTGCTGAGAAAGTGCTAAGGCTGCAACAACAGAGATTTCTAGATGGTATTATCTACATATAGGAATCTGCTTTCAGATGAGGCGTGGAATAGAGACAGAGAGCTTTTCTCATGGTTGACTTTTGGTAGGCCTTGCACTTATGGAACATGACCCTCCTTGTCCTTCTACACTTCCTGGTAGATTTAATTATTGTCAACTACAGTTGACAATATTGTAGTAGTTCCATTTCTACTGGGTGGCTACAGTTATTAAGGCAATTAGCTAGAGTTCTAACCATCTGACATTCTGCTATGGATTTTAGTCCTGTGGCCCAGAATTCAATCCTTTCTCCATCCTATTTAACTTCTACATAAAGTTGTTGCAGAAGGTAATTTGTTGATTCAGAATATGGTATCATTAACATGCTGATACACAACTGTTCATCTTTATTCTGGATCCAATGAAGATGCATTCATAACGGAGAAAATTGCATGTTTGAAAGGATTCTAAAATATTCTATTATAGAGAATTCTCTGTTATGTGGCAACAAGTTTCCCCTTGTAACTTAGAAGAATCTTTTCAGCTCTGTGCAAAGATTGATCCTATAAGAGAGACAATTGAAATCAGTCTCCAAAGGGAATACATGTGAAAATATAGCAGTTAATGATCAAGGATGTCTGTCAAGGATGCAAAAATGAAACATGGAAAGGTCCATTTAGACTAGAATAGTTTCTTATCAATTAGCTTTTGTTCTGTTCCTGGGCTATATTAAGATATTAGAACAAAGGAAGGCAAAAAATCCAAATAGTATCAATTATTGCCTTTTGTTGATTATATTCCCTAAGTATTTTGTATTTGCTTCTGATATTGCTTTGTTCCAATTAAATTACATTAACTAATTAATTAAATTACTTTGTTTTGTGCCTTTTCCCTTTATAAAAAATTCCTATTCCTTTTTATTGTCAATTCATTGTCAGTATATTACTGAATTTAATTTTTTTTATCCTTGTATATTATTCATATTATTACATGAATAAATTGTTCCCTTAATAAAAATGTGATATGTGTTTTGGAAATATATAAACATTTAGCAACAGAAACAAGAGCTGCAGATTTTGAATATATGCCTTATTGTAAGCATTTGTTATAGCCATGCTATTCATGGATAGCATTTTGTTGTGGACTTTAACCATTTAGATATTTACAACTATCCCAAATCATAATTTGAATAAGGATATTTTTTATTTTCTCTGAAAAAGAAATTGTGAACCATAAGCATATTCAGAGCAGTTTTTGGAAACACTTTATTGAGCTCCAGGAGCATCTGTAATTTCTTAACATTTTCTCTCAGTGAAGACTATTTTAAGAGCTGAGTTATCTGATCAACAATTTCATGCCTCTCATCTTTGCTAAACTGCACCACTGTACTATACTTTTTGGGTTATGCAAGGAACTCTGTGTGTGTGTGTGTGTGTGTGTTTGTGTGTGTGTGTTTCCAATATTTTAATATTCTTAATAGATATTTTACAGGAAAATGGAAGGGAGATCCTAGAATTGGATTAGAGCATATTTAAAGAACAAAGCATAACATTATGGAAGTCTTACTAATTGTAAACTATTATTTAAGCAATTCCATTTAACAGAGATAAGAGATTATACTGCTGGCTAGTAAGTAATAGTAAAGTAGTAATTTGCAAATATAGCTTTCAGTGTCTTGGTAGAATTATCAACAATTGCACACATGTTTTCTTACAGATTCACACTCTGTTCTTCTGTTTGCTGAATTGTCTTTCACCTACTGAAGCCTACAAATGGGAAAGTCTGCAGAACTTCTCTTATTTTCATTAGTAACAATCTCTTCTACAGGTAAGAGTTTCTTTGAAGGGTTCATTCATATTTAGATGAGCATAAGGACTGATCAAATTAATGCCAGTTAAGTAACAAAATTATTTGTATTTTCATCTAGCAATCACGATATTAAGTTATACAAGAAGGATAACTCAGCTAACATAAATTTCTATATGTTTTCCTTTTAAGTCATGTACTTACAGTGTAACCTAGATATGTCTGCAAACAGAATTTATAAAGCTATTTATAATGATTTTTGTACTAAGTAGGAAAACCAAAATTAAAGAATCAGACATTGTATATTAACCTTATTAGAAAAAATGTCTTTATTTTTTGGGGAGTTACATAGAAGTTTTTTAAAAATGTCATTTATCTATTTATGATATTCTAAATATCAGAATCCTTTTGTATTTTCTGTCCTTTACCTAATGCGTAAACCTCTGCTTCTCATTGTATTCAAACTATTCATAGAAGTTTCATGCTATGCTTTAAAAGGTTGATCTCTCAATGGGAAGGCATTTCATTTTAGATGGCTAAGAATTAGATAATGCTTTGGTGCTAATTCGTCATCTTGGGAGAGGCAACTTCTATGTCCCTTATAAATATCTAATTACATTTTAATGTTTTTGGGGTCTCTTGGGAAGGTAGTTGGCCTAGATCAGGAGGCAATTAGCTTGTGTAGAAGCTAGTCTGGCCCACATATGTCAATGACATCAAGGCAATGCTAGGAGGTTTCTCTATTAACCAGCTGAATTTAGGAGACTTATTTTTTTGCATTCAAGCAGAGACCATAAGGATTAAATCATTTACAAAGCCCTACAGGAGCACTTTCTAATGGTTGATAACATATGACATAAAAGATTAGTATAATGATGGCCAGAAGGCTGGAAATACCTCATGGGGAGCATGAAAAAGAGCCAGGCAGAAGAAAAGCCACCGATTGATCCCATTGGGAGATCAACCTTTTTGAGAATAAAAATCTGGATCTGTAAAAAATACCTACCGTAGATATTTTCATCAATGTCAATATTATTTTCAATATATAGCTCAGGTCTTCAGCTCTAGAAAGTTCAGCAGCTCCAGAAGCCTTCCTCCCTCCCTATACTAAGCACATATACAGGACTATTACAGCTGCAAAAAATAAAATATGAGTTGTTCTAAAATGGGTGCTGACTCTCTTCATCACTTGCTTGGCAGCATTTGGAACTGAAAGGACTGTTACTCAGATCTGGCTAACCACAAACTTCTCTGCAGGATTATATAATGCCAAAAACTTGTAGCAACAGGACAAATGTTCTTATGTAATACATTGAAAACATTATCTAATAAACCACATGTGAAATAATTGTTAAAAGAACTTATAAATAGATCCAAAGAAGTGTCTCAGAAAAATATTGAAGGCAAAGCTAATTTAAGTTTTGCCCATCCTTCTGTTCTCTACTGAAGCTCAATATGGTCTATTATGATTTTCTACTTTCTTTGCCATATGGATGTAGGCTGTTCTACTTATGATCACTCAGAATTGTGTGTAGTATAGGATTTCTTTCCAAAGAAATATCCTGCAGCCTACAAAGCATACTCAGCAAGTGGTCCTCAATGGTACTACATCCACATGGAGAAAAGTAAGCAGTGGGGTACCACAAGGCTCCGTCTTAGGACCAACACTCTTCAATATCTTCATTAATGACTTAGATGAGGGAATAGAAGGGGAACTCATCAGATTTGCAGATGACACCAAACTGGAGGAATGACAAGCCCAGGATCCAAAAAGATCTTGACAAACTTGAACAATGGACCCTATCCAATAAAATGAGTTTTAATGTGGAGAAAAGCAAAGGTTTATATTTAGGCAGGAAAAATCAAAGGTTTAAGTACAGATTAGGCGAGACCTGGCTCAAAAACAGCAATTGTGAGAGGGACTTTGGAGTCCTAGTGGACAATCACGACTGAGCCAGCCGTGTCCAGCAGCAGCCAAAAAAGCTAATACAATCTTGGGTTGTATAAACAGAGGCATAGAATCAAGATCACGTAAAGTATTAGTACCACTTTATTAGTACCCTAGCATTAGTATCCTAGTAAGACCACACCTGGAATACTGCAATCAATTTTGGTCACCATACTACAAAAAAGGTGTTGTGATCTTGGAAAAAGTTCCGAGAAGAGCAACTAAAATGATCAAAGGCCTGGAGACTAAAACATGTGAAGAAGGGCTGCAGGACTTAGGTTTGGCTAGTCTAAGGAAAAGAAGAAATAGGGGTGACATGATAGCAGTATTCCAGTATTTGAGGGGCTGCCCCAAAGAAGAGGGAGTCAAACTATTCTCCAAAGCACCAGAGGGCAAGACAAGAAACAATGGTTGGAAACTGACCAAAGAGAGAAGCAACCTATAATTAAGGAGAAACTTCCTAACAGTGAGGACAATTAACCAGTGGAACAGCTTGCCTTCAGAAATCGTGGGCACTCCATCACTGGAGATTTTTTTTTTTTTTTTTTTAAGAAGAGACTAAACAGCCTTATAGCACAATCCTGAAAAGGCTTCCTCAGCTTTAGAGATCTCTGATTTCAGCAGGACTTGTTCTTATTTAACATAACTGCACAGCATTGTGGTCTTAACTACTGAATATACTTTCCTGGTTTTTGTGTTGGGATTTCTGCTAATCCTATTTTAAAATAGCATTGTTAGTGGCAGCACTTATTTTGTATGTTAATACTTATTAGAAACTTTATATAAGCTTGAATAATTCAGTTTAATGAAGAAAAATGTTTTGTCCGCAATTCCTTTATTTTTAAGCAACCAGGAATAGTTGATAAAAATTGTTTCATGGAGATAGATTTAGCCTTCCCCAGTGTATCAGATTCCTGATGTTTTTCACCACATAGAAAGGTATTAACAAATAACTCTTATTAACTCATTTAGTTCTAAGTTTTATGTTACTTGCTAATTGTTTTTTTTATTGAGATACTACTAAAACAGGGCCGAAAAATTTCTATCCTTCCAGATGTTACTGAACAATTTTTAACATTCCAATTTTCCAACTGGACCTGCTGAGAACTGCAATTCAGCAACAACTGAAGCACACCTGCAAAACTATTTTATCTCTGTTCTTAGATAGAAATATCCTATGCAATTTCCTCATTCATGGCACATGTCAGCCTTTAGTTGTGCCACAGATCCTGAGTTTATGCTTTAATGATACAATAATATAAATAGAAAAAATAAGACATGACCATGAGAGATTTCTACCATACCATCCCAATATTTACTCTATAAGAACCTAACAACATCATAAGTGCTTCATAAAGATACCAAATGCATGTTATTTTGGCATTTTATCAGATGCCTTGAAATCTCAGGAACAAATCTTCCCAGTCTTTTTGCACTTTTCACACTCCAATTCATAGCCATTATAGGAAAAGATGAGGGCAACAAGAAAAACAGGGAGGGAAAGCAGAGCCATGTAAAATAAAAAACCAAGATTAGCCAAGATTGGATTTTCTCGGTTAAGAAAATATACCATTGATATTTAGAGGCAGAAATCTGAGGTTTAACAAAAATGGCTTTTGAATGTGCAATTATCATGAATTATTTATTGAATTCTGAGTACTCTTAGCCAGTCCTCCCCGCCCCAACCAAAAAACTCTAAGCCTTGAGTACATCTGCTTTTAGCTATTGAAATGTCATTAGAAGATGACAATCTTCCTAAGCCAATATTCCATCCTTTGTTCCATCAGCGTCAAGGACAAGACCATTTCCAGCTGAGATAGGATAAGAGGGAGCACAGGGTCCTGCAATTATTTTAATTAATCCAGCAATGCTTTATTATCAGTATGTGGATGTGTATATCGTGCTAACTTAAGAGAAGACAGACTGCTCAGATTGAAATGCAGAAGGCCCCACTTAGTGAGATGTACTGTATGTCTGATGTATTCCACATTGTCAACCACTTTCACTTTCACATAAATATAAATGCATGGATTTTTTTTTCTATACTCTTCATGGGCATAAATGGAAAAGTTGGAGCTCAAAATAAAATGAGTACCTTTATCCTTCTGTATTCTCCCCAGCTGGAAGTCACTCTGGCATAAGATACTATGGATTTTTTTTTAAAAAAAAAATGCTTATTTTAAACAGCATCTTCGTGTTGGAAGTAAGAAGGCAAACAACTGATTGGAGAATGGAATATTAAACTTTTCTTGGAGCTTCATTTGTCTGGTGTTTTATGTTCTGTGTCCCATACAGAGCACATGAAAGTTTAACAGAAATTGGCCTGTGGTTTTTAACTCTAAAGAGCAAAAAATTCAAAATACAGAGTAAGAACAGTCATCTGATGAGATACAATTATGCAAGGGCTTGAGCTTCATCATAACTTTTTCTTTTTTATGAAAGAAAAGTGAGGGGTTATTAACAAATGCAGAGTGTAGGGCAGCCAGACTTCATTTGAAGTGTTCATTATTATTTCTGAATTAGATTAAACTGTGTACATTTTAAGGGTTTTTTTTTTTCTGTCTTCCTATGTAGTCTGGAAGTCAGCTGAGACTATGATGAGAAACTATGGGCCTGTCTTTGAAGACCAGCCACACAATATCCTTTTTCCAGAATGGTCAACAGAGGAGCAAATTTTGTTGGTATGCCGAACACGAGCGAGTCCTCCTGCAAATTACAGGTGATGTCACTTCTAGCATCTGCTTTGTTTAATGGGAAACATGATTGCAAAATCAGAGGGCACATTTTGTGTCAAATGGCACTATATCTTTGCCTAGGGTGCTAGTAATGTAGACAAAGGCAAACATTTCATATTCCATTCAGTTAAATGAAGTACTGAATGTATTAGTAAAGCATAGAACTAATTATTTTTAATTCACATCCAGGGGAATTTAATTACATTTAACATATTAGTGCAAGCTTGTTCATGCCTCTTTAGAAGTAAACCAAATATAGATTCTTTGTGCTTACTTCCAAGTAACTGAATCTGATGCTGCCTGTTTTATATCCTGGATTAGGTTTTATGCTTTGAAAACTTCTGAACTTAAAATATGATTCAATAGATAGAAACATCCAAATATTGTATCCACATTGTGCTTAAAAAAGGAAATCTGCTGAAAAACAAGTTGCTTAAAATACAGGTAGCCCTGACTTAATTTTTTAAAATATAATTTTGATTAAGAATTTTAATTACAATACTTAAAACTAACTGCTTTTTTTTGGTATATCCAGTAAACCATCCTTTTTCTCTTCGTCTGTCATTTGTAATTTCACTTTCTGCACTTTATCTTGTCCTTTTTAAAAGGACACTAAGTTTGTAAACCTCACTTTCAAGTCACTTTCAGAAATTGCCTGCTAATTATCTTAAAGCTATTAGAGATCACCCCAAACATCTCATCATATTTTGCAAAAGTATCAACCTCTGAGCAAATACATTTGATTTTATTTTTAAATATTATACATGTTATACTGTATGTAATAATCTTAAAACATTTTAAGCATATGAATGATTTACCAAGGTCTGCAAATAAGCTGTTTGAAATTATGGTTCTTTGATCTTTTGGACTATATTCTATATATTATAGACGAGTGTGTGATCCTTTGGAATGAATCTCATCTGATATATATGTTTATATATATATATCAAAACTTCAAACAAATGCTTCCATATTTATTTGCTCAATTTCTATAGTTGCTCAGCTCACCAATTGTGATTCTGAGCAGCTTCCATAGGATTATAGCAAACAAGGAACATAAAAAGCAGAAAAATATAGGTTGCAGAAAAAATTAGGAACCAGAGTGAATTTTCAGATATTCTAGCTTCTCTATTTAGAAACAGTCATGGATCTCAGTCCTAATCTTGGTGCAAAATATGCTTCTGGTTATGCTTAAACAATATTTAAGCACTGAGTTGGTGGTCTTTTATATTAAGAAAGTGCAATCATAATTTGTCCTGTTTTTTGACTGGGGTTTTATAGAAATAGACAATATTTCCCATTCAACTACTATCAAACAATAGGCTCTATTGACCATTCAAGATAGTGCTAATGTGCAGCTGTGGGTCTTCTAGTATGTTCTCATTCCATCCCAATATCATTGTTTCTGGCAGGTGGAAGATGAATGGAACAGAGATCAAAATAGAGCCAGATTCACGATACAGGTTAAATGGTGGCAACTTGGTAATAAGAAACCCAATGACAGCTAAAGATGCTGGATCCTACCAGTGCATAGCATCCAACTCCATGGGCACAATAATAAGTAGAGAAGCTCATGTTCGCTTCAGCTGTAAGTAATTTGTCCCATTTTGAATACATTCTCTGTACAAAAAGGACAGCAGTGTCAAGACTTCTGCCACCCAAGCTACTGTGACAGCATGCTTGGCCAACATAAGCAACCTGGTTGAAAATCAGTGCAGTTGGGGCAGAAGTAAAGTTCTGATATATAGCTGGATCACACTACACCTTGTGCATGATTTAGTCTTTTGCAAGGATGATCAGGATTTAGCCTATAACCAGACAGAATTCTTCACAAATTTATTTTATAGTTCCTCGTATAATCATGATTTTAAATTTTTAGTCAAGATGCTAGAGATGTGAACTGTTTTAATGAATATGTAGATATGAACAAATCACTTTCTTTTGGGGTGCATGATTCTGAATATAAACCTGTAAAAATGATGGGGGGCTAGGAGACTATCTAATGGCAATAGCTGCCTTTTATTGTAAATAGGATAAATAAAAGTTAAATTTAAGGACTGTCTTCTCCACATTGATTTCCTTCTTTCATAAAATCATGAGATGATATTGTGCATAAATGCTAACTGTGCATTCTTCTAACATGCAAATAGGCATTATCTTATCTTTGCTGTGTAGTATTTCTGATCCAAAACTGTACTTTTTCAGATCAAACTAATTTACTAAAAGCTCGAAGAGTTGCAAAATTATTTATCATATCACAGAGTTTCCAAGTCCAGCATACTCATTACTTTTTTCTGTATGGAAAGCTTGCTGCTGTTTTTATATTTTATTGATAAACATTGGGATTATATGTGTATTGATTACAAACAAACAGATGTGACTCATTTTAAAGAGCTGCTTAGAATTGGAATTAATAATAAGAAAAAAGGATAGAAAGATAGCATTGACTTCTCTAATTCAAAAACAGCAGACTCTCTAAAGATTGCTCCTGAAGATACCTGCTATTATTTTCACAATTTCCTTTTGATAGGATGGGAACATGATTACCTGTAGCAAGCAATATTTCCCCTAAGAACCAATGTGTAAAAAGTGCTAGCCATCCTAGCATACATCTGAACACTGGACTGTTTGTATGTCTTAGATCTGCAGGAATTCTCTACAGAAGAACGAGATCCAGTGAGGGCTACAGAGGGCTGGGGGGTGATGTTGACGTGCAGCCCACCACCACACTATCCAGGTGAGGAAATAGCAATGCATTAGAAGTGAGGCTTTCACTGAAAGGGTACAAAACATCCATATTTGAGGAATGATATATCAGAAATTGGCATTAGGCCATAACATTTGGCCTGCTAGAATGTTAATATTTGGTTGCTGTTATTTCTTTGATGTTGTCTTTATTGACATTATTATTGCTCCTTCTTGAGTAACAATGAAGTCCCAAAAAAGAAATAATTGTTTGGTATTGAACCCACTTTGTAATTATTTTTTGATACACCACCAACATTTAATACTTATTCTTTAGAATTGTTTCAGAATCATTTGGAACTAATTAGCAATGTAGAGTGTTGCCAAATATTAATAGAAGTTGCTACACTTTCTGTTAAGTGCAGATAATTACAGTGAGAAAGGCTCTGAAAAGTATGAAATTTTCAAATTATTACAGACCTCATCTCTATAGTTTCCAGGTCTTCAGTGAAGTCTGAAATTCTTCCCTGAAATCAGGAATTGGATGCTAATTGCTGCTGCAAATTCCCCATGTCAAAACTGAGAATTTTGATATAGATAGAAATGGCATTTATCACTGTTTAGTGGTACAAATCTATGTGTGCATATTTTTCTGACTATCCTGCAGAATTTGAATAATAGGATACTGTATTGCATTTCATGAAAAGGGATTGTGCTAAATGTTTCCATCCAGAAATAAAGGGGTTTCTAATTTAAGATACTGGATTCAGCTCTTTTTAAAGAATATTGTGGGACAGTTACGCATCCTCTCTAAAAGGACAAATATTCTCATTTCATTTGGCATAAGACATCAATATATATCACTGATATATACCAGGCATTGAGGTAGGTAGGTAGGTGGGTGGGTGGGTGGATGGATGGATGGATGGATGGATGGAGTGCAGAATGAATTCATAGCAACTGGATTTAGTAATAGGTTTGTCTAGAAAATAACTGGCTGAGGTCAAGCTTTCATTGTAACTATCATATGATATAAAAAAACCATTCTCCCCCTTCCCCTCTGTTTTTCTTTCTCTCTCTCTCTTTCTGTATATACAGGACTTGAATATCGCTGGTTAGTGAATGATTTCCCAAACTTCATTCCAGCAGATGGCAGGCACTTCATCTCTCAGACAACCGGAAACCTTTACATTGCTAAGACTGAGGCTTCTGATGTTGGCAGCTACTCCTGTTTTGCTACGGGCCATATTGGCTCTGTTAAAAGGAATGTTTTTAGCACGTCTTCTCAACTCGTTCTTGTAAGAGAAGGTCAGCATTTAAAGACTCCTATCTGTGTGTCTCTCTGTCTATAATGGGTATCCACTAAGCCAATCATTTTCAGGGGTTTGCAAGGTGGGTTTTCTCCGTGTGTATCTCTAAAGTTATCTTTATTGTGGAAAATATGTCCCATATAATTTGCTAATCAATGTGCTTGATTAAAATGTTTGCTGAGTGGTGTTTGTGTTTGTTTTTGTCTCTTTGCATCATTCACAGTGAGGCTAGGGGAGGATGTTATTTCTGTGACTGACAGGAAAAGATCATTAAATGAAGCCTATGGATAAGGGGGAAAACTTTGCTCATTTGTGCATTATATCACTCTCTTATTTGATAGTTTGATTCAGTGCTTATATTTGAAAGAATCATAGAAACAGAATTGTGGAGTTTGAAGTGATCATAAGGATCATCTAGTCCAGCCAAGAGAGATGGTTCTTCAGGTTCTTAAACACCTCTAGAGAACAAGAATTACAACTGTCATTGATAGACTGTTCCACTATTCTACAGATCTTACCATCAGGATGATTTTCTTTATATTTAAACAGAAATTATATCCATTGTTTCTGCTCCTAGCTTCTGTGGCAATAGAAAACTGTTCCTCACCATGTTCTCTATGACGTCTTTTTATGTATCTGAACACTGACACCATGTTTTTTCTCAGTGTTTTTTCCTTCAGATTCAACAACTCAAATTCTTTTATCCTGACTTTATATCACTGTATTTTTTTATTGCACTCCCTTGAACCTATTCTAATCAGACGATATCCTTCTGGCTTCACTTCTCTTACCAATAAGTCTGATTCCATGATTTCCTCTACTTCACACTTTACAGGTGAATACTATAGACAAAAGAATAAAATATGTATCACTTCTAGTTTTGACCTTTGTTTTAAAAAAACACCTTTAACCGAGGCCATTATTCTTTTTTTTTTAACAAATTTTATTGGGTTTTTTTAATTCTGAAAACAAAGTACTCAGGACACACCGTGGTGGTGGGGTAATCAAACACCCAAAAACAAAACATATATACATAGTACAATCAATACATCAAATATTCCCTCTCTTTTTCCCTTAAATAGCATAGTATATTTAAAATAATCCAATTCTAGCTTAAATTTATTCAACCTGAACCTGTTTTAAAGCTTTATGAATTTAAAATACCGTAATCAAACTAACTTTAAATAAAAACATTATCAATTCAGGTATCCCTTCCAAATATGTTCTAGTTCCTTAATTTTAACATACATCTTATTTATTTCTTCTTCCACTAATATCCCCTATTTAAAATAAAATATTGATCTATCATATACATATCTAATCCATCAATTAATCAGTCTCTTTAAGCTGACAGAATAATGTCAGACCTTAAATCATTTCAATCCATTAGACAGACTTCATTAATTATCATAACTACTAATATCCATGTCATCAAACAAACACGTCATCTTGTTAAATTAACTCAATTAATTAATTCAATCCGATCTAAAACATCTCTTCAATTTTCTTCATTCCATTACATAATAACTTTCATGCAAATAAACCTATCATTCTAAAAAATACATTCTTAATCTTCTAGACTACCTTTAATCCATTATATAATTAAAGTGACAAAATAATATTAAGCTTTAAATCATTTCAGTTCGTTAAGCAAATTTCAAATTTCATCCAATTGATTATTATGCCTTACCACATCTATATTATCTTACAAAAACATCATCCACTAATTTAAAACACTCAATTGATTATTAAAACAATCCAAAATTTAAAAACCACCATTTTCCCCATTCCAATACATAATAATTTTCATCAAAATAAGCCTATTATTCCACCAATTACATTCTTAATCTATTTTAAGATATCTGTTCTAATAATCACCCCCTTATTTTTTCCCCTTATTTCTAAATCTGAATCTTAGTCCTTAAAACAGTCCATAAATCAACGTGCCTTTTAATCCATTACACATCATTTTAAATTTCTATTTTCAGTCTTATTCTGGCCTTTCTATGCCAGGCAGGTTTCCATAACAAAGCTTCCCTTTCAACCGATAAATTTCTCTTTATTGCTTGTAGTGCCCTTTGAAGCGATAGGAATCCCATCCTCTGTATCAGGCCTCTGTTTCTCTCATCCTTAAAGCTTCGTTGTTTTAAAGTTTCAAGTCTTAATCTTTGGTTCTTCTGGTCCTCAAAAATATAAATGACATGTTTATAAGGTAAAGTCTCTTTTATCTCAGTTGTTTCCTCTTCTAGTAAGTTTTGATTTGTAGAATGCTCAGATATAGTCTGGAGATCAGTTTGAAGATTTGAAGTGGAACTTCTGGTTCTTAATTCTGTAGTAAACTCTTTTATTGTAGCACATATTTCTGCAGTAGCCTTATAAATCTTTTCCAATATAAGTTTGCAGTTTAATTGTAACTGAGCTTTCTCCATATTGCTAGTAATTGAAGAGAGTCTCTTTTTTCCTTTTTTTTTTTTTTTGTGGAGGCTGTATTTAATAAAAGTTGAGCAGTATCCACCCCCACAATTCCCACTGCTACATCAGTTTAACTTTTCTCTTGAAAAAAATTGAAGGTCAGGTCTGTTCCTCCAAAGAATAGCCAGAGATTGCAATATCAGGTTTTCACTAGTAGATGTCCTCAATAGATTTAAAAAAATCTTTTCCAGACACCATTTTTCGCCCTTTTTTCCTATCTTTTGAAATATGATGTGAAAAAAGAAATAATCTTCAAGCATAAAGTAATAGTACAGCTCTTAAAAAAGTTTTTTCTGTACCCCTAAACAGATGAAAATAAGTTATAGTCTCTAAAATTTTATTCTATTCCTTTGTTCAACGCCTTTCTTCCCAAACATATAGAAGCTGCTTTTTCAAGACAGGGAAATAGTTCCAACAAAACTCATACAGGCAAAAAAGAAGCAAAATAAAGTAAAGAGAGGAGCCAAAAAAAAGTCTCACCTGGATTCACCACGGTGGTTCTCAATGCTTAGATGTTGTTTGACTTGCGGTTTGAAGCAGCTGGGTGATCGGCCATTTTACTAGCCGATCTTCCTCCTCCGTCGGCCCTCAGAGATGGCTCGGACAGCTGGAGGAGCCACTGCTCCTCCGCAGCCGAGCGAAGCCTCGTCAACAGAAGTCGCATCCTCCAAAGTGACTTTGGACCTGCACAAGGGTCTACCGGCGGAGGGAAAACTAGCCGACGAGAAGACAAGTCTCCTCGTGCGACTAGAGATGCCGCGATCCGGAACCAGAAGTCCATTATTCTTTGATGAGGTTAGGAACATTGAAAAGGATCTTTTACTAAGTCAGATCACTACTTGTCTCTCTAGCTCAGTAATGTTTATGGTGAATGGAATTGCCTCTTCCAAATATCAGATCCTGGAGATACCCAAGACTGAACTGGACATCACATAACCTAGCACATTCAAATATAAAGGAGAATACCCATCATTTAAATTAATATCTTCTTTGAATGAAACTTGACTCTTGTTCACATAAAAACATTGGTGTAGTTTACTTGGCAGCAGAATGGAAGTGGTTTGTCATTTTCTTCTGGAATGTTTTTGCAGGTCTGGCATTTTTGTTGGTCTTCTATCCAAATGCTGACAAGATCCAATTCTGCTTATCTTTCTGAGATCAGTCAAGTCACTGCCATTTAGCTGGATACCTGTCAGTTGCCACCTGTTGGGCTCAGTCCAAAAATGAGATATTTCAGTCCTTTATTTGCTTATGCTCAATAGACAGATTCTTGATAGACTAAACCTTTACTACTCTTATCCTACTAGATACACCCTGGGAGATTCTAGGGAATGGTTATCCTAACTCTCTTCCTTTGCTCCTATTTAGCTCCAAGTTATTTTTGCTTCTTGTCTTGCCTCTCTCCTTGGAATCTGCTCCTTACATCCTGGGAAACTGCTGCTTCACTGTAGTCTATTACACAACTTCTCCAATTAACACTAGACAATATTTTATATTTTTAGATCAAATTATCTTCATAACAATTCTGCAAGTCTGATTCCTTGTCTTATAATTTAATAGAAACCAAAGCAGAGAAATGAAAGCAAATATTCTGCTTAGCACACCATGCCATCAATTTTTAGAGTGTAGAATTGATTTGCTTTTATATTATTATGGATCATCGCACAGTCAGCCAGATGTTCAGACTGGATTTGGCATTTTGTCTACCTATCGAGTCCTTACCCAGGACCTGGGATAGGCAGATGTGGCTGTTTGATGGTGTTACAGGTATCGTCGCAGGATGGAAGCAGTTCCTAATAAGGCTGCCTTTTGCAATTGACTAATAGCGAATTTGTCAATGCCAATGGTGTTCAGTGGTGCCCAGTTGTTTTGGGATGCACCAAGGATCCTATTACGATTGGTACTACCCTTTGCTTGCTTTTGCCACAGTCCTTTCTATTCTATTTGTAGGTCGTTGTATTTGTTATCTTCTCCAGTTCGTTCTCTTCTATTCTGCTGTTCTGCCAGGCACTGCCAACGTCCACTATCCAGAACCAACATCATACTTTTTTTGTCTTTCTTATCGACGAATTTGTTTAAGTCTGGAGTGTTATGTTGTCAGGTGCTTGTCGTTTGAATTCTGAATCCCCCAAGCGTTTTATTTTATCATTTTCTATGACTTTCTCTATTTTATGATCCCACCCCAGTTTTTGCTACAGGCAAATGATATTTTTGGCAGATCTTCCAATGCCCCATTGTTGCTACTTTGTCATGCCGCTGCTTGTAGTCAGTCTGTGCAATCTTCTTGCAACAGCTTACCAAGTGGTCCACTGTTTCTTCAGCTTCTTTGCATAGGCGGCACTTACTGTCTGTTGCTGTCTTCTCAATTTTGACTTTGTATGCATTTGTCCTTAATGCTTGGTCTTGTGCAGCCAGAATTAGTCCCTCGGTCTCTTTCTTCAATTTTCCTGCTCTTAGCCATTGCCATGTTTTATTATTATCTGCTTTCCCAGCTATTTTTTTCATGTATTGGCCATGTAGTGCTTTGTCTTCCCATGCCTCTATTCTGTTCTTCATTTGGTCTTTCTTGTATGCCAGTTTGGTCTCTCCATTAGTTAGTAAGCCTTCCTGATATACTAATTTCAGTGCATCTTCATCACTGTTCTTCAGATATTCTTCCAAAGCCATTTTTTCTTCTTCAACCATCTGATGTACTTGTAGCATTCCACGCCCACTATTTGCCTTGGTAGATAAAGTCTATCAATGTCACTGCGTGGATGAAGGGCATGATTCATTGTCATTATTTTTCTGGTCTGCCTAGCCATTGCTTTTAGTTCTGC